TTCAGCAATGAACTCTTAATTCTGCCAAGGTTTCCAGCTGTGATCTGGAAATCATGTTTATTTCCCAGTATCTCCCAAAAAGCGCATTTCCATTGAGTTCTGAAACAAGATACATTTAAGTCATAGTGGTGTTTGCCTCCTTTGATGACCTCCCTCCCATCCCAATATTTGGTCTAGCCTAACCACGAACTGCTTTAAATGCTATTAGTTCCTATTAATATCCCACCCATCCTCATTTATTTCATAAGCAGAAAATGTCATCGATGCAATCTTTACTACTTTATCACTGAGGCATCCACTGAATTCCTTATCTGAACCATATGTTATCTTTTCCTGAGTTTAGGAATATGCTACAGGTGGATACAGGCAAAGGTTACGACATGGACTTGGCAGAAAGCTCACTCAGCTAAAAGCAAAGTGAAAAGGGCACCCACACAAAAATCATGAGATTGCACCAAGCTTGAGAAGGGATACATTTATCCCATCTTTGTATACATTAATATGCTACTTCAAAAAAACAAACAATGATAGTACTGCAGGATATGTTACCCAGCAAGAGTCTCACAAGGTTCAGGAAAATACAAGTTGCCACCATAAAAATGCTTAAGCAAGAGTGGAAAGGCTTCTGGAACAAAAATGTACCTTCCCCCCACCCCCAGTATATTTGACAGTTTGGGAAGGTGCAATAGTGAGGATTGCACCAGCATCCCAACAGGAGGTTCTCTACATGTATTTATTTTTTATCATGCCCTTTATCAAGCAAGTGATCCTATGATGGGTTACCTAAATTAAAGGAACCCTGCAACAAATCGACAACAAATCATTAAAACATGAGTATCACAGCTGTGGCTGTGTACACCTTGCCAGCTTAAAAAGTAGTGAGATTGTTTCCTCCCTGCTGTGTTTCAAATTCCATCTGCTTCTCATTATACACATCAGTACAAAAGGATGTTTCCAAGTTGCTTGCTGTCTGTCCACACCAGTGGGCAGAGAGGAGGGCATGAATGCCTTCATATGACTTAGATATTCAAATTGAATCAAAGCTGGTTTGCGGGGAAATGTGTCGAGCACAGTATTTATCTAGGAACTATAGCGTAGATGTGGATTGCACCTAACATTATATGTACATGACTTCACAAACCAGTGGTGGGAGAGTTCTGGATGCAGAGCCGATGGGAGCGGGTACCCAACAAGTGTCTTCTTGCCTTAAATGCAAGTGGTGTAAGCACATCAATTTCCTCCAACCATTGAAAGTCTAAAGAAAGAGAGACATTTTTAGCTGGTGCTCAGACCCAAAGAGTGTTGCATCCAGTGGCATCTCAAGGGGGAAAGCATTTCACATATGGTGAGGGGCAACCACCAAGAAGGCCCTCTCTTGAGCTGTAGAACTAGGAACCACACTCAGTGTTGTGTAGAAAAGCCCATGCAGAGAGACCCTCCTTCAGGTAAATTTAGGCCTTAAATGCTGCCAGGAACTGTATGGGATATTATTCACATGGTTACTAGTATCACATGCATGCTTATTTACAATATTTGCAGTGTAATGAAGGATACCTGCCAGGAGTTCTTTCTGCATGTATGTAAAGGGAATGTGTCGTTGTGTTAGGGGTTTAATTCGCACCAGACTTAGGACTCATCCATACTTCCATTTATCCAATGTTTTCGAGGCATGGGTCCAAGAGGTTCTCTTTTTTATTCCATTGCTTGCCTTGGGACGCCCCACTCTTTACTGCTGAATCAGAACGTCTATCCACAGAAAACCTGACTGATGGTTGTTGCAATTCAACAGTAAATAGGAGGTTTTCCCAGGGAAAATGGCGACACACAAAAAGAGGCCCTCGGACCCAGGACCAGAAATCACAGGACAAACAAAAGTGTGAGTGGGCCCTTAGTTGGAAGCTTGGGTCATTTTGCTAAATGCCAAGAGATCCCCTAAATTATTTCAGGGTCCTCTAATTATAGCATCCAAAATGTGCACACTACATTGGATTGTTCAACAGGGTTGTTGCTTTAGCAAGCACTAGGGAAATTAAGAAAACAAATTCAAGGGGATGCAGTGTCTGCTTCCACTGACAATAGTCCCAGACATTTCCAAACACCTTGAGACACTTGGATGAAAGGGACTATGTAAATGCAAGTTGTTGTTGTCATTAAGCAACTGTTCAGATGAAGGGGGTTTCATTTAAATTCCTGCTTTTAGAAGGAAAGCTCCATAACTCTGAGCCAACTGCTGCGCAAAAAGGTAATAGCAGTAATGACACTGGTTGATGTGTGTAATGATTAATTAGCATAAATTTAAACACGCTTGCAGGATGTGACTGAGGGAGGCATTCCCAGGAACACAAAAACCAAAATGCAAATTTCAGTCCTCCAAAACCTGGGGGGTGGGGGGAGGGAGGAATACAACACTTTCAAATATCTCAGATCTATCCTAGAAAACTAGCAGTAGATGGATATGGATAGAGATCCATAGATGTAGTATAATGGTTAGAGTGTCTGTCTGACTAGGACCTGGGAGACCCTGGTTCAAATCACCCACTCGGCTGTGAAGCTCACTGGGTCAATTACAATCTCTCATCCTGTTTTACTTTGCAGGGATGTTGTGATGACAAAATGGGGGAGGATTATATATGCTACCTTGAGCTCCTTGGAGGAAAGATGAGATAAAAATACAACAAATAAATACTAACTGAAGGCAGAACTATGTTGCCTTGGCAAGCACATCTTCTCAAGCCTATGTTTGCAAATGGAAAGTTAATGCAGAGTACTACAAAATATTGCTGATAAAACAAAATCCAGTGGAGACTAAATCAGATTAGTTTTAAAGAGCACCCAGAATACTGCTCTGCACCACAGCAAAATGACAATACCAGTCTTGAAAATGGAACTGCACATAACCAAAACAGTAGTGCTGATGAGCTTTCTCCCTACCTCTGCAATGAGCAGACTTTTCGCTTTGAATGAAGAATTCATAAGGAGTTTCTCCCAACTTTCACAGATGCTCTTTTCAGCCTTCGCTCTGGGGACCAGATTATGACATCTTGCTTAAGCTTGAGACCAGCTGCAAAGGGCAGAGGTGACACTGACAAGCTCTCCCACTGTACAAAAAGCCCCTTTAAGTAGAGCTTAAACTGGCAAAAGTGTTGAAGCCCCAAGTTTATCTCACTTCTACGGATTTCCTTAAATTTGCAGCCCCAATGGTGGGATGTGGGAACTTGGGAGCCTGTCAGTTTCACCAGTGCTCTTTACAGCCTTTCTATGAAATCCACCTAATTTCCACAACCCCCTCAACAGAACCAAGCAAAAAATTCCTGCATCCATTCCCTATGGAGATTAAATGAAATAAAATCAGACACAAAGAAATCTCAGAATACAGATGTGTGCCACCAGCAGAACTACAGTATCTGCCTCAGAAATAAAACTTGGTGGATTACCATGGCACCCTTTAGTGCTGCTCTTCTCTATATCAATGTGCCTGTTTTGTCATCCGTATTTATTTTGTACAACCTACAGTACAAGCACAAACAGGTGCCAACTAGGAAAGATCAAAGAGTCACTCATTACGACCCCCTCCATCCATGTTTAAAGCACATGTGTACATTCCTCAAGAAAATGTGGTTTTTTTATTGTCAGTCATATAAATCAATCATGATCCTAAAATGCTGTGGAATCTAGATTGTAAGACTTACATTGTAGACCAGGGGCCTCCAACATAATGCCCTCCAAATGTTGCTGAACTACAAATCCCTTCATCCCTGACCATCTCCCATGCAGACCAGGACTGATGGGAGTAGTGGTCCAACAACGTCTGGAGGACACCACATTGTCCATCCCTGTCTTAGATCTTGTCGTGAATCTTCTCCCTTCACACACAGACTGAAACCTCTCTATGCCAGCTCCACCAAAACCTACTCTAAAGGGGCTAGCTGTTGCAGGCCCAGCATATCCCAGCCATCCTTCATACAACAGACTTCATTCTGTCTTATGCTCCAAACTTCTTTCCAGTCCAGGCTCCGTCTGCTATATCTACTGTTTCCAGCTTTTCTCCTTTTCTCTATGGACCGCTTTCCATGGAACTCATCTTGTAGAATGGTCTCTCTAGGGAGGTTCGCCTGGTGCCTTCATTACATATATTTAAGAGCCATGCAAAACCATTCTTCTCCCAGGTCTTTGGCTAATTGAACAGTCTATGGCCTTTTAAAGTACTGTATTAGCCCGAATATAAGCCGCACCCAAATATAAGCCACACATTTAAAAGCCGGGGGGGGGGAGAGAAAAAAAGACAATACCAGAATATAAGATGCTCCCTTCCTCGCTTTCTCCCTTCCTGGGAAAGGACGGGGGACTACGCGCAGGGCGGGCACTACATTGCCGCGCTCCTGGCGCTGTTTGCCCTGCGGTCCTGGCTGCATGCTGGATAATTTTTGTAAGGTCGCAAATATAAGCTGCACTTTAACTTTTCGTGGTTGGAATTTGGGGGGAAAGTGTGACTTATATTCAAGCCAAGACGGTATGTGTGTAGTGGTCAGAGGGGGGTATTTCTATTGTTTATCAGTATGTTGTGCATTTTTATGTTTTTATGTTGTAAACCGCTCTGTAATCCTTTGATAATAATAATCATACAGTGGTGCCCCGCAAGACGAACGCCTCGCAAGACGGAAAACCCGCTAGACGAAAGGGTTTTCCGTTTTGGAGGCGCTTCGCAAAACGAATTTCCCTATGGGCTTGCTTCGCAAGACGAAAGCCCATAGGGAAATCTCCGGGACCTCTTTTAAATGCTAGCGGTGGGAGCAAAGCCTTCCCCCCTCCGGCCTTCAGAAGAGGTCCAGGAAGGCTGGCGGGGCCGAAAGGCTTTGCTCCCCACCGCCAGCATTTTAAAAGCAGTCCGGGATAGCAGGGAAGCGCTTCCCGCTATCCCGGACGGCTTTTGAAGGCAGGAGAGGTCCGCGAAGCCTGGGCGCGCTGATCTCAGCGCGCGCAGGCTTCGGCATGCCGGCAACTCTCCGCAAGCAGCGGCAGCGCTGCCGCTGCTCGCGGAGAGGTCCGCGAAGCCTGGGCGCGCTGATCTCAGCGCGCGCAGGCTTCGGCATGCCGGCAACTCTCCGCAAGCAGCGGCAGCGCTGCCGCTGCTCGCGGAGAGGTCCGCGAAGCCTGGGCGCGCTGATCTCAGCGCGCGCAGGCTTCGGCATGCCGGCAACTCTCCGCAAGCAGCGGCAGCGCTGCCGCTGCTCGCGGAGAGGTCCGCGAGCCTGGGCGCGCTTATCTCAGCGCGCGCAGGCTTCGGCATGCCGGCAACTCTCCGCACGCAGCGGCAGCGCTGCCGCTGCTCGCGGAGAGGTCCGCGAAGCCTGGGCGCGCTGATCTCAGCGCGCGCAGGCTTCGGCATGCCGGCAACTCTCCGCAAGCAGCGGCAGCGCTGCCGCTGCGCGCGGAGAGGTCCGCGAAGCCTGGGCGCGCTGGTCTCAGCGCGCGCAGGCCTCGGCATGCCGGCAACTCTCTGCAAGCAGCGGCAGCGCTGCCGCTGCTCGCGGAGAGGTCCGCGAAGCCTGGGCGCGCTGATCTCAGCGCGCGCAGGCTTCGGCATGCCGGCAACTCTCCGCAAGCAGCGGCAGTGCTGCCGCTGCTTGCGGAGAGGTCCGCGAAGCCGTGGCTGGACCGCTTTTGAAGGCAGGTGGGGGGACAAAGACTTTCGCCCCCGCCAACCTTCAGAAGAGGTCCAGGACCTCTTCTGAAGGCTGGCGGGGGCAAAGTCTTTGTCCCCCTGCCTGCCTTCCCAGGGGCTTTAAATTGCCCCGGACAGCGGAGAAGTCCTCCGCTGTCCCGGGGCAATTTTAAAATGCCGCCCGCCAGCATTTTAAGATCGCCCGGACAGCGGAGAAGCCCTCCGCTGTCCCGGGGTTTTAAAATGCTGGGGTGGGTGGGAAGAAAAGCCCTTGTCCCCCCCCCCCCAGCCTGCCGAAGTGGGCGGGGGACCGACTGTCCCGGACCTGGGCTGAAGTCGGTTTCCCTAGGAACGCATTAATTGATTTTCAATGCATTCCTATGGGAAACCGTGCATCGCAAGACGAAAAACTCGCAAGAAGAAAAAACTTGCGGAACGAATTAATTTCGTCTTGCGAGGCACCACTGTATATATATACTCCCCAGTCACTATATATAATTTCCCCAGTCACTCAGGGCGGCTCCCAACAGAATATTGAAAACATGATAAAACATGTAACATTAAAAACTTCCCTAAACAGGATGAAGGCCGGTATAGAAATGTAAATAAATAAATAAATGGCAACCAGTACTTGAATACTGCCTGCTGACTGCTAGGCTGGATCCTGCCTCAAGCAAGCCATGGTCTACACTTTGGCCAATAGGCTCCTCCCAAATGGCATGTATTCCTGTTCTAATGCCTCTTTGGCTTAAGGAGAACAGGGACGCCTTTTTCTTTTCATTGCTTACTGGATTGCTTTTGATGGATTGGTTTGTTGGTAAGATACGGCAACAAATGTACTGAGAGATATTCGCTAGTAGCGGGTTAGAGGGACTGTTTGTCCTTAACAAATGAAAGGAGCAGATGGTACTGTGAAGAGATTGCATGTGCACTGCGGTGCCGGGCTAGCATTTCTCAGCGCCCTGCTGCACAGCTTAGAGCAACAAAAAGGCAGGTCTATGAAGTTGCAGAATTTGTTTATACAGCTTTAAAACGGCATCCAGCTTTGTTTTTCTGATTTATTAGTAGCCTGTGCCTCCTCTGGCATAATCCTCTTAAGCAGCAACATCGATGCTATGCCACATACTTTAGGCTGCGGACCAAGAAAGAATGTTGTGGGACCCACCCCTGCTGCCCTGCGCAAGTGCCTGGAGCTTGTGTTATCTTTTCCAACAGCTGCTCTGAGCCATTCAGAGATGAAAGTCAAGATGGTAGCAACAGTAGCTCAGTTCTGGTGCTACCTCCACAGACATTTCTGGTGGGGAAGCAGCTTCAAAGGTGCACCAGCCTAGAAGCACAAAGAAAGAACAGTTCTGAATTAAAACTGGATGTATGTGCCATAAAATGCTTCTATTTCTGTCAGCTACTTCATTGAAAGGGAGAAGAGAAAGCAACACGCCTTGAGTCTGAGGATGGGGATTCTTTCCGCAGAAAGGATGGGGTGAAATGAACGCAGTTTTGAGGCAATAGTGCATGGTTGAATCACCTTCTTCCGTACATGGGACTGCTAAGTGATTAGGCGGGACAAATTTCCTCTAAAAACCACAACCTTCTGCTCAGTTGATTAGTCACACAGCTAAGGGTCAAGATAAACATTGTGTCTAAATGTGCACTACGTAGCTACATCTCTGTAAACTGGAGGTGCAGAGGTAATTGTTATTGCGGAGGGAGATTTGTTCCTTGTAAACCCCTGAAAATCCTCCTTTGTTAAAAAGTTGGTGTTAATGGGAACCTTTTAATTAACCCCTGTGGCCCCATGAGAAGGGTGATTTTACAGGAAATCAGTAAAAAAAATTACCCTTGCCTGTAACTAAGTGGGGGTGGGAATGGAGACATGGCTGCATGCAACAGATGAAGTGTAACAGGTAGTTTGCTCAAGAGTTGTGGAATAGCAAAATTAAAACTTTGAAAATAAATTCCCTGCTACCGTTATGCACTCCCCACATAACAATGGGTCACTTTTGATAAGAGCAGACTGGAGGCTTCAGGTATCATCACCATAGAATAAAACGGTGGAGAATGTGGGGACAAAAGGCTCTTCACAAGGCAGCAAGTCTGCTACACCACTTTAGGTTCCCAGTGAGAGAGATCCTGGACCCCCAAGGCGTCTTCAGACATCTCATAGCCATTTCTCTAGCTTTCTGCCTTCCAAAACTGCAAAATCCAAAACTGCAAAATCACAGAATTGTACCCCAGCTGAAGGGTAAAAGGGTATAAGTCAGTTTCCTTAAACTCCCATCAGCCTTAAACTGATGGGAATTATAGCCCAACAACATATGGAGGTCACCATGTTAGCTTCCCCGCTCCTCCACATGCAGCTGCTGGGTGACCTTGGGCTAGTCACATTTCTCTGAAGTCTCTCAGCCTCACTCACCTCACGGAGTGTTTGTTGTGGGAGAGGAAGGGAAAGGAGATTGTTAGCCACTTTGAGACTCCTTAGGGTAGTGATAAAGTGGGATATCAAATCCAAACTACTCTTCTTCTTCTTCTTCTTCTTCTTCTTCTTCTTCTTCTTCTTGTTCTTCCCATGGAATATTATCCTTTCCTGTTCTTAGCTTCAGCTTCACCACTACTGTGGAGCTTCACCACTACTGTGGAGCTGGATGGCTGTCAATGGCAGGGGATGGATACAAGTCCCAAATTTGCCCTGTTCAGTGGAATAGATACATGGAGTCAATGCATCTGAAGCTACTGCACAACTACTATCCACACAGAACGAAGGAGCTGGCAACCACATAATGTATAACATAGTTCAGACTACGATATAAGCTATTCTCCCTGTGGGATTCTGCCACGTTAACATTGATATTCTGTGTCTAATTACTGTGTTTTACAAGGTGGTAACAGAAAATCACATTCATTTAGCTGTAAACTACATCTGTGGGAGTGGTATTTGGCAGTAGCTTCAAAAAGAAAGGGATTGTTTTAATAACCTTTTGGGGACCTCTATTATGCCTTTTCTGTTTATCTTGTCTGAGAACCAGCGAAAATTGCGGGGAAATCTCATTAACAACGATTGCAGTTCAAACGCTCTTCTTGAATGGATGGACCAAATTTCCAGCATTGGTGCATTTTTCCAGTGATGTAAATCCATTAAAATGTCAGAAGAAAATGTTTGAGAGTCTTAACACTCATCTAGCTGCAACAATTTGTCCAAATCCACACTAATTATCTTTATCTAAATGTGTTAACTCTTAGCTGAAGCGTAAGTTCGTTAATGAAATGGTTCCACTTAAAACAAATTCAATGTGCCCTTGGAAGAATCTCTGCCTGTATTAGGGAGATGCTGAATGACTGATGCTGAAACTGTGAGTGATTATTTATTTATTTATTTGGGTGGGGAGGAGAAAGAATCATTTCCCGTTCCAGCTACAAGCAAAGTGAAGGGGAAAACACTAAAGCCTCAGGCAAAACTCTAAGATTTAGTCCTTTATTACTCTTTGTAATTACTATTGAAATCATGATAAGTAACTTAGCTGACTATGAACAGATTCAGTGCTTTCAACCTCTTCAGTAGTTAGAAAGGCGCAGCTGCGATCAAGAAGCTGAATTGGAGTGGCCAACGATTTTCTTCAGGCATTGACATGTGTGCCAATGGTAAAAAGAAGTCTGTATCTTTCAGCCAGATGTTGCCTCATTCAGGGGTTAGCTGCAGAAATGGGAACTGCAGTCCATCACTAATGCGGATAACAACCGTTTGAAGTCATAGTCCTGACGATGTTTCTTTTTCTGCTTGGTTGGGGATCAGGGAGATCCAACTCTAGGTACCTTGTTGTATGTAGATTCCAGATGGCCAAAAATTAAATTCAGGTGAACAGCTCATTTAGCAGGATAAGGCCAACGATTCAGCAATTTCGAGAGCAGGCAGCATCTCGGAGGCAAAGCACAAGGCAAAAAAGAAAGAAAAAACCCCTATAAAATATTGAAGGGAAGTTATCAAATTGAAGCTCAGAAAACAGACATGCACCTGAGCCCTGCCACAGAGGAAGGCTCATGAATTTTTAAGGTCTTCTGAATCATCCAGACAAAAACTTACCTTACTGGTATGTTTATATGCATTGGGGAAGAATAGGAAATTAGTTGGCTTTCTGCGTTGTCAAGATACAAGGTAATGCATTTTTAATACAGCCTCCTCCATGCAAAGGAGTATCTAAGATGCTCTGCAGAAGGAATCAAACATGAGCCAAGGGCGAGTTGTGAAACACTTGGGTGACTTTGTTTGGAGGAGGGGAAGTTATGAGGGAATAAGCAAAGATTTGTTTACTCGCCTATCAAAGAAAGATAAATGTACCTGGTGCTGGGGAAAAAATCAAATATCCTTCAGTCTGTAGTAAAAACAACAACAACAATCATTAAACAGATTTTGTAGCATGTGAAATAGCTGAGCAGTTCTAGAACTACACAGATATCAATTTTAAAGCAACCCTATAACTCTGGTTCTGAAGAAAATGTTAGAACTTTTCTGCTGTTTTATTCTATGCCAAACTCCAGCAGGTTCCAGGCTGCTGTATTTTTAATTGAGATCAACCAATCTTTAGTTCCATTGTTTGGAGGTTGCCTGGTGAGAGTACCTATTCTGCATTTATTTATTTAAGAAATTTATACCCCACTTTTCATTATGTCTCAAAGTGGCTGGCAGAAATGAAATAAAATATACATTATACAAAGTTGAAAACATAAATTATAATTTCAGAAAATAGAGCATTAGAAAAACATTGGGAAAACATTCATGATGCAAAGGCCTCCTGCAGAAAAACCATTTTTATCTGGTGTCTGAAATTTAGCAGAGACAGTTCAGGGACCTCACTTGGAAACAGATATTTGGCATTCATTACAAATGATTTTTTTCCCTCTCAATCTGGTTCATATGCTTTGGTCTTACAAAAATCCATGTCCACTATTTGCTTACATAAAAATTAAGAGTATCTGCTCTTCATGCAGATCCTCTTATTTGCACAAAAATAAAATAAATGAAAATGAAATACCCAAATGTTGTATGCAGCGCCAATCCTGGAATAGTATTCCTGGCTTAATAGGCTTTTTACTGGGCTGGTATATTTTCCGAAACAACACATACAAACAAATAATAATAGAATCCCTGCGTAGCTAGGATTTCCCTTAAAGATAATTATGGCGTAATTTATGCAGTATGGAATCCCTTGCAGACTTTCTGGTATTGTTGTTTTTGTGCAGTCCAGCAAGAATTGATCTGTAAGGAGCAAATGAACATTAACAACTCTCTTAATTCCTTGGCGAGTTATTTTGTTTTATATCACAAGATTATTATCATTATAACATGCAGGTTTGTGATTTCAGCTTCCTAATGTGATTCCTAAAACTATTATTCTAAGTAATGAAATCCTTTTGGCATCAGAATTCTATTCGCCAATTACAATGCAATGAATAATAAATGTTCTTATACCTGAGTAATGATGTTTGCTTGGTAGTGCGTTTCTTATGAAGGTGTAGAAGGCTAAAGTAATATTGAGAAGAATGAAATGAGAAACCAGCTGAGGGGCTAACAAGATTGCTCCAGCTAGAGAACATTAGTATGGATCCAGATTCATTTGCAGAACCCAAAAGCAACCACTGCTTGACAAACCCATGGCCTCTAGTCCACAAAACATATGCATACGTTTGTTAGTCTTTAAGGTGCCACAAGTCTCTGCTGTTTTTATACTGCTTGGCAGTTTTTCAATAGCCCCATTTCTACTTCTTTGTATAGATCACTGCACTTTTGAGCACCATTAATTGAAAATTTAACAAGCAGACAGAAATGCCTCCCATTCTCAGACAAATCTAATACTTACGCACTGAAGGTGGATAGCTTAAAATGTCATGTGTGCTGTTGTCATAGAGTAGGCTTGCCATACGTCAGGAAAATTCCTGACATGTCCTGGTTTTGGGTTGCAAAAATGGTGTCAGGGGAATTTTGCCGAATCGGCAAAATGTCAGGAAAATCCTGGATGTATGGTATGTCAACGCGATGGGGAAAGCTCCAAAAATTTCTGTGGGTCTTCCAAAAAAACAATTTTGTGGGTGCCAGGAATTTTACTTTTTGAAATATGGCAACCCTATCATAGAGCCAAATGTACGCTAGGAGAATCACATCCTGAAAACTCCCAAACATTCTCCAAGACAGAGAATGTCACTGATGGTTCTGAAAACTGCCCACAGTGGAGTCTCTTCATTCTCTTTTGCTGTGGGCTTACAGAGGAGAGCACAGACAGTTCTGGTCCACAGCAGCTGCAATAAGCTCAGTAAAGAAATAAGTTCAATAAGGAATAGTTGCATGAGTACCAGCTTCAGAATTTTTATACCGCATCTCCTTTCCCTTCCTGTTTATTCAAAAGCACCCCATGGGCCCAAGGAAATGTTGGGTAACATGCAGAGTGAGACTAGGCAGAAGTTAGGGCTACTGAGATGAATGGGATTGATGCCCAAGTAACACTGCAATCCTGTAAGGGTAGTGAGTCTTCTGCTGCATATGCAACTTTACCTGATTTCCCCCTTGGTCTGAGCTGTTGGAGCCGCACAAGCCAGTATGCATTAGCCAGGATGAAGATGAACAGGGCACTGTGGCGTGAGGTGGTACAGTTAGGTGGATGGGAGATACAGCACCCGAACATCTCCTTTGACATCAACGATGGAGTTCATCAGTGCCCTACAGGAATCCAAGTGTGGCTAACATACGTTTACAAAGGCTTAAGGAGTCAGTTGCAGATGTGAGCAGCAAATCGGCCTGAAGGAGTCCAGCTCATGAGGCATATAAGGTACTGGGTAGGGTCCTTAGTCTAGGGGTGGTCCAAAGTCTTGGGGAGTCTTTGCTTCTCTCCCCTCCCCACAAAAAGGGGGTATCCCATTAAAGGGATTCTAGGGAAGATGTTTCTTCCACCGGAGGTGGTGATTCTAATGGGCTGCTCCTGTTTGATGTATGTCATGGGGCAGTCCCATCCTAGGATTGACCCTCCCCCCAAAAAAGGTTAATAGTTAACAGGGAGGTTAACTGATTTGGGAAACAACCAATGACTCACTTATACCTGTAATCAATAAAGTTGTGAGCGATTTCAATCCAAAAAGTTGTCCTGAGATTCCTTTCCTTCTGCTTGCATAGCACCCCAGCAGGAGGCTCACTGGGCCTGGGCCTGCAACTCCCCCATTTTTATTTGCAATACCAGCTCCAGGCTGGAGCACCAAAGAGATCTGGATTGTGCCCCTGGCTTGGATTTAGGATCCAGCTGATCTGTGGCCAGCCTACTGTTGCCCACACCCTATTCCAGGGGGCCTTTTCCTCTGCAGCTGCTGGGAGGTCATCTGAAGCAAGAAAATCTCCATGCTGGGAGAGACCAGGGGCCAGGGCTGAATCCTAACTCCCTCCAGCAGTGTGAGTCAGAACTGCAACCTAAGTGTAATTATTGCAGCCTAAGGAGCAGAAATGACTATGGAACTGTTGGATGACACCCTTCACTCCTAACATATAAAGCCAATTAAAAAGGGGGGGCAATATCATGTTACACTTTCATTCTATCTACAATAGGAATTACATCAGAAATAACTCAAGAGGCAGGAATCACTGTAAGATCAATAAACACTTCAGGAGAACTGAGAGTGGTTTGGGAAGCTACAGTGAACAGGTAAAGCAAGTGCATAAGTGATTAATGACTCTGGTTTTTCTGCTTTTATTGCATTGTTCAAAAATGAAACTTGTGCATTCCTCGTACAATGAAATGCATGATTTCCAGATCTGGGGGGAACTTTTGCATTTCACTGCAAGGTGGGATATACATCCCCCTTTGGATGTTGCACCACAAACATAAAAATCAAATGCACAAATACTGTTGTGCCCTGCTTTGGCATAACATCTGAAGCCACTCCAAGAGAACATTATGTTAGCTCTCTGCAGCGACGCCTGTTCTTAACGTTCCATATTAATTAACTGCAAAACTTAAAACAACAACAAAAAGATAGAAGTGCAACAAGCTTTAACAAGAAGAGGCAAGCTTTGGCAGGTTGGGGTGATGAGTTCTCTGCCTTAATTGCATTGCAAGACTTAACCCGCAGAAAGACAATAGATTAATAATAGAGAATGGAAGACGAAAGAACAAAGGAGCAACAGAGGGCACAACAAAGCCACACAGAATAAATCTGAACTCATTTCCACACTTTTTTCTCTTCTTCACATTCGTATCCATCAAGAAATTTCAAGGCTGGTGGTGGGGGGGTCAAGCTTTTGACAGGGATGGCCTGCTAAACTCTGATAAGAGGAAATAATCTACTACCTTCCTGGCTTACCAAAATATAATGTGCCCTGTTATTATCTGCATTGTTTGTATGGGTGAGGGAGGGAGTCTTTTGACTGATGGAGAGAAACCAATGGTTTGGTTCCTTAAAGGACAGAGCACTCTCTGCCAGTCCTGCCACCACATTCTTCCCTTGTGGGAGGCACCTCACTAAGCTAGAAATCATCAGAGGCACATGTGTGGGTGGAGCTGGCATTCTGGGGGCAGGGGCAGCCCATCCCATTTCAACAGATGAAACAGGAATGTGTCGCTGCCCCGCCCCCCATTGTGGACCCTCTCACTGCCACCATCACTGGAATGTCGTCACCAGAATGCCCCCCTTGCCAAACTCAGAGGGAGCCGAGCCGCTCCGCAAGGCATTGCCGCTTGTCAGAACACCTCCTGAGAGGGATGCATGGTGACAGCAACAGAAGCGGTGTGGCAGGCAGGGTGCTGCCTCTTCCATTTCTGCTGTCTGAGGCAAGTGCTTCACACTGCCTCATTGGTGGACCAGCTCTGCTCTGAGATGCTGTTGAGTAGCAGCACCTCACTGCAGTCTTGGGATTAGCAAGCAGACAGACGACCCATGTATAAGTGGCCCAAGTCAGTACTAATATAGGAGTAAAAGGTGGCCAGAACAAACACAATTAAGCAAAGGGAAGAGTGAGGGAAGAAATGAAAACAATCACATGTACAAGATAAGCAGGGAGGAGGGTATATGACCAGGGATCAATATAAGAGCAAGTGCAGATCTCAGAGACAACACTGAAAGAATGGTGTATAGCTCTCTCTGTATTCTCTTCCCCCTCAAGGCAGTCTACCTTTTTACTATTAAAAGAAAGAACTGGAACTTCTTGAGTTGTGGCATTGCATCTACACAGAATGTGACAGACAGAAAGAAGAAGAACATATGATGATGCTAACCTTTGATCATGCAATAGTCAAACACTTTTAACTGATGAGTGATATAGCAAATAAACAAACATTTTGGTTATGCCAGGCTCTTTGCTTGCTAAGATAACCAGCATCAGTACCTACATAGCTATACAAGCAGGATAGAAGTTTGCACCATTCCACTATATCCCTAATCCTACCATACGCTTATTTTAAAGAGCATCAAGGCAGATGAAAGTAGGCTTTTCTAGTATAGCCTTTCATTAGTGGTCAATGTTGTGAGAACACAAGTAGATGATATTGTGAAACAGCTTGCCAATTTGTGAAGGCAACTCCTGCTCAAGCTGTGGAATTCTTGTTAGTTTTGGGCTGCAAAAAAACCCACCTGGGAAATTTCACCAGTCTTATCAAAGGACTTTGGGCTTTCTGTGAAATTGTTCAGAAGTTTCCACTGTGAAAGAGCAACTCCACTCTGCTTTGAATTTGGATTTAGTTTTGTGGCTGCCACTCCCTCAACAGTTCAACATTGCTGTGTTGAAAAAATCTGGGTTTAAAAATAATGGTGGTGTTACCTTTAGATATGTTACCAGAAATGAGCACTTCAGATGAGTGTCTGTCTGCAAAATTTTCAGATAGGAAAATTACACTTAGACCAATGGTTCATTGATCAGGGATCTATCCTAGCTCTACTTAGAGATGCCGGGGTTGAACCTGACACCTTCTGCATGCAAAACAGATGTTCTACCATTGAGCTAAGGCCCTTTGCCCCCAAGGTAACATGCCACAGTTGCCTTTATCAAGTTCTAGTACTCAGCACAATAGATCTGATCTTCATTACCATACAATGGAGTGTAGACTGAGCTGAAAAAGTTATTTATCAGATGTTAGACAGTTTTAAACACAAGATTGATAATGTCAACTATACTCCCTTCTAATTACAACAAATCAGATAAATGCAATAATGACTACAGCACCACTTAGACGAGCACAATACAAATACCTAGTGCATATTCCTATATCTCCACAATATGATTAGAAATTCATACTTAAACAATGCCAGTTGCTAATGCCTGATAAGATTCAGATGGAACAATTTCTATACCGGTAGGAAAGCCAATCATTTGAGAGGTTAGAGAGGAAATATGAAGGACAGGCTATACTTTAAGTGATTTAACAGAACCTTATTGGACAAAAAGACTCGACCTGGTGAGGCTAAGGGATTTGATTTCTGCACATAGGGAAGCACTACTTCAAATTATAGACAACCAAAGTTATAGACAATCAAAAATAGGAGCTAGAAAGAAAACTCATCACTTTTGTCTGCAAATATGTAGGCATCCATAAAAATGAAAAATTGTTTTAAACCCTTATATTTCAGGGCTCCGTGGCAATATATAAGGAGGATTTAATTGCTCAGCAGCAAATTCACTTTATAAAGAACCAAGATTATACTGCCGTTTATCCCAATTTCATTACGTTATGCACTAAAAGCTATAAGTTGTTTGAGAGCAAATAGGAAACAAGCTGAGCAGTTTTAAGGTTTCCCTCTCATGTGCAGTTTTTGCCTCTTTGTATCCATTGATACAGGCAGAGTCGGCCCATCCATTAGGCAGGGTGAAGCAGCCACTTCAGGCGGAAGAAGTGCAAGAGGCAGCACCCTGCCAACCTGACCACTTCTGCCTCCACCAAAACTCCCTCCCCCCTCAACAAATTTTGATGAGAGTCAGGTGTTCAAGTGTGTGGTGTTGCCACTTGTCTTCCTCACCCTTGGGGCAGCAAAGACAAGCACCAAGTCTTATGGAATGCTCCGCTCTCACTGACTTTCAGTGTGTCGTTCTGGTAGTGACGGAAGTGGTGGGACAGGCGGGGCTGGGGAGCAGGAGGCAGGAGGTGGCCAGTCCTGGATACAGGAGAAGATGGTATGGCACCCTAAAATAGCAGCACCGCTGCAGTGGGACTTGAGAGTAGTGGATCTTGAAGAAGAGCATGTCACATGTTGTTTAGTCGTTTAGTCGTGTCTGACTCTTCATGACCCCATGGACCAGAGCACACCAGGCACTCCTGTCTTCCACTGCCTCCTGCAGTTTGGTCAAACTCATGCTGGTAGCTTCGAGAACACTGTCCAACCATCTCGTCCTCTGTCGTGCCCTTCTCCTTGTGCCCTCAATCCTTCCCAGCATCAGGGTCTTTTCCAGGGAGTTCTCTTCTCATGAGGTGGCCAAAGTATTGGAGCCTCAGCTTCAGGATCTGTCCTTCCAGTGAGCACTCAGGGCTGATTTCCTTAAGAATGGATAGGCTTTATCTTCTTGCAGTCCATGGGACTCCCAAGAATCTCCTCCAGCACCATAATTCAAAAGCATCAATTCAAAAGCATGTCACATAGGAAAACACAAATCCTTCTGTCGTACCTTTCAATAAAGAGGTCAGGGCTAGCTATTTACTATTCATAAAGTTGTTCTTCTGCTCTAACACTACTTCTGATTGGCCCCAACAACTCTTCCAACATCTGGATAGGTGCATAATTAACAGGGAATTGAGTTTCCATAAGTGAATTATCAAGTGTAATCTAGAATTTAGCATCATTCCTACACTCTCTATGGTTGCAGTTTGGGCAAGTCCTGTTTGGATCCCCAGGCAAGTGTATCCTACATCCACCCCTGCAACGCTTGGACCTTGCACACTCATAACATAAATCTAGTTTTTTTCTTTTTCTTTAGAAGCTTTCAAAACTTAAGAAAAATAAATAGCTGTGACATTCTTTCATCTCCCCTGTAACATCAGGAGAAACATTTATGATGCTGATATAAAGCAGACAGAAAAACAAGTAGAAGTTGTAAACAGATGTTCTAAGATAATATCACATGCTGTTTCAATAGTTCTAAATCTAAATTGTTTGGAGTTCAAAATGATGCACATATTTCAGTTTTAATTGACACTTAGTAGTGTGGCAGCCATTTTGGATTTTTACATTTTTATCTTCTTAGATGCCATAGAAATCTGGTTCACGCATGATTTCATGCTCTATGATAAACACAGTTGGTTTCCTCGCATATTGTGTACTGGTTTTGTGTGTTTCCCACAGCAATTTTTGATGAGTCATCATTTCACAATTTTAATTTCTAAAAACCTTTAGGATAAACACAGTACCTAATACTCACCTTTCTTCAGAATTTCATCCAAACTGGTTAAGCAATGTAACTGGAAGAGCAAGTTTATGTGGGTAAGGAGTTTGTGTCAAGACTTCCTGGCTTCTTTCTGTGGTTTTGGGCGTCAAAACCACAGTGCATTTCTTAGAAACAGGTAAAAAAAAACATTTAAAAAGACTCAAGTAGCCCTACAGCATAGGAAATCTCCCGATATTGGAGTGCAGAGAATACTAGCAAGAATGTAAGCTGCAATAAATGGAATGTAGATTTGACACTACAAAATTGCTTTGGAGAATTATATTATTGCTATTATTATATTTATATCCTGCCTTGTTCCCAGTACGGGATTCAATATGGTTGAAGGTCTTGATGGTCTGAAGTATACCATATGTAGAAGCTGAAAGAAAGAGGAGCCAACAGAACTAAAAACCCTTAACTGTATTTTCATTGATTTCCAGTTGTGAGGCATGAAAACTGCAGGATTCAATTTATCCAACTTGAACTTCCACCATGTAGGCTGGATACACACTCCTGTTTATTTTGAATCCAGTGTGCTCCCAAGCACTGGCTTAGGAAGTAGTGTAAACACATTAGCCACAATCCACATATAGCCTTGTGTTTCTTGAGAGATACAGTGGTACCTTGTGTTAACAACTTAATTCATTCCAGAGGTCCGTTCTTAACCTGAAACAGTTCTTAACCTGATGCGTGCTTTCGCTAATGGGGCCTTCCACTGCCACTGCTCCGCTGGCACACGATTTCCGTTCTTATCCTGGGTCAAAGTTCTTAACCTGGTTATTGGAGTTTGTAACTTGAAGCATCTGTAACCCGAAGCATCTGTAACCCGAGGTACCACTGTACTGCATTTTCATGTATTTTCAATCCAAACTGAGAAAAAGAATGACCTAGCTTCGTTTTCAGCCAGTAATATGAACACAGCCATATTATCTCTTTGTCCGAGTGCAGATTGTGTAGTTTGTATTGTTTTGCTGCATGGCGCAGATCTAGCTGTCTGTAGTGTATTGCTTCCAAGAAAAAAAATCATAATCAACATTTTTTATTCAACAGTTAATATTCCATGACTATTGAAGGGAATTTTCCGAATGCCTCTCCATTTCTATTTGAGTCTCTAGACATTGCTTTCAGCAGCTGATGGTGCCTTCAAAGTGTGTGGAGAATAGGGAGAAAGGCAGCAAAGAAGTGAAAGCAAAACTGCAGGCAAAGTAAATACATTTAAGTACTCTTCTTTGAGGGGGGAAAGAGTTGATTGGATTTTAGCTCCTCTCCCTCTTGTGCAAAGGCAATCTTCCAAAGTTTGCAGAGAAATACTAAAGTCATTATTTTTAGAGGGAGAAAACTAATCCCTCTTCCCACACTGACTCCACAGATTGCAGCAGAATATTTGAAATTTTATCTCTGATATTTTTATCTGATATCTAGCTTCAAGCATTTATTAGTTAGTAAGGGCGCAATCCACCCACACACATGAATTCCCTTTACCTGTCTTTTCTTCACTGCATAATTCTCAGAGGATTATTAACTTGCATTGCACGGGAAAGGGCTGCTGGATGAGGATACCAAATGCATTCACATGCCAAGATGGAAGGGGCAAACAGGAATCTGTTGAAATCTTCACAAATCCATGACATATGGTAGAAGTGGATCATGCCTTGAGAAATCTAGCTTGCCCTATTCCACAGGTTTGGAGTTGATAACACTAACCCCCAGGTTCAGTTAAAGCAGTAAATGTAATCTGCATGAAATCACATTACAATATCAGAATTATATCCATCACAATGCCTGCTTAATCTCATAATTAGAAGGCTGAGAATCCAGAGACCATATTTTACTTTGATTTGTTTATTATTATTAAATTTATATCCTGTTCTTCCTCCCAAAGGCACCAGGGCAACAAACAACAAGTAATAAGACAATTTAAAATATCAAAACATCTTCCAAACAATTCCAATACAGAGGCAGACTGGGAAAGATATTAATTTAAAAGGCTTGTAGGAAGAGGAAGTAGATGCCAAAAAGACAACAGAGACGGTGCCTGACTAATAGTCAACGAGAGGGAATCCCAAAGGGCAGGTGCCACAACAGTAAAGGCCCGATTCCTACATTTTGCAGAACTGATCTCCTGGTAAGATGGTCTCTGCAGGAGGTCTGCACCTACAAAGTGCAGTAATCAACTGGGTGTATAAGGGGTGAGACTATTTTTCAGGTATCCTGATCCCAAGCTGCAAAGGACTTTGTATACAAAAAACCCAGCATCTGAAACAGCGCAGTAGATACTTGGCAGCCATATGTAATGAATACTGTTATTCTTGGCATCTTCATGATAATGATACAAAGACAACTGTTCTAACCAACTGTATGCAGTATACCATGAAACTGAACTATGGTATCTGGCTCACATAATCCATTTTTTACTTGGCCTGAGCTTTAAACATGTTGTCCACTGTTGACAGATTATATACTCTGTTACAAAATAGAATGATCTTTTAGGCCCAGATAATACAAGCAAGGTTTCTTCAGGAGAAAGGGAAGGATATAAATTTAATAAAGAATGCATTTTTAAAAAATACATGGAGGAGATGCAAGATATTAGACACTGAATTCCCATA